GCAGCCCACTTGAGGCTCAGATCTGAAAAAGCTTAGAGAGAAGGGAGAGAGTTTTAAAGCTTAGAGAGAGAACAAGAAAAGGTTTCTTCCTTTCTATATCGATATTGCATACAAACATATGAGTATAGAGAAGCCACAGAATTTATTAATTAATTGGCAACTGATCCTCAGGAGGTACCAATTAAATACACAACAGAATTCTCAAAAAAAAAAAAAAAAAAAAAACACAACAGAACAGAACACACGTGCATAGAGATGCATGCATAAGCAGGAGGATTATTCAGAACAGACAACACCGGGAAGAAGAAATTCATGTTGCGATGGATCTGAGAAATAATTATATTAGACGAAGGAACTGAGAGCGTTCTTGAGGTTAGCGATTTGTTTGTCTTTGGCAGCAAGCTGTTCGTCTTTCTCCTTGTCCATCTTCTTCAGCTCTTGGATCTCAAGATCCTTCTCTGCTAGAAGCCTCTCGCTCTCCTTCTTGGCGGCAAGCTCTGCCGCTTCTCTCTCCTTGTCCTGCTTCTTTAGCTCCTCGATCTCCTTGTCCTTTTCAGCCTGAAGCCTCCGGCTCTCCTTCTGTTAGAAACGGAACAATAACAAGATGAGGATACCGAATCTGGAGCTGAGTCGCGGACTAGGTCGCTTTCTTTAAGACGTTCGCGGCACTGCCCTCGATGCGCACGGCAGACTATCAACCGGTCGTCTCCAGGATAAAACAGCTCCTCTGTGTACTCGCGGTTTTGTGCGAAAACCGGAGCTCTCTGAACACTCTCTCTATTGTGTTTATGCTCGTTGTTGTGTGTTTAGAGGGGCTGGGGAGGCGGCTATTTATAGGAGCCGAACCCCTAGGAATATACCCTCTTGCTTGGGGAATAAGTCGGATTAATTAAGGAAGATAATTACTTCCTTAATTAAAACCGTCGGTTAGGATAAATCCTGCGGAGATTATCCTTCGAATATTCCTTTTCAATCGATTATCCCTTGGAATATTCCTCAGAGTAACCGATTAATAATTAATTATTAAATAATTAATTTCGTTCGGAATTTCTCCAAAAAATATGTATATAGTCTCAAGTGATCCATCCATCCATCCAACCAACCAACCAACCAACCGACCGACCGGCCGGTCGGACGGACGGACGGCGCGCGCGTGTGTGGTGGTCCGTTAGGTCCTCCCTCTCCCACAAAAGTGGGTCACCCCAAGGGGCATGCCCTTAGGAGAGAGGCTCCTATCTTTATAATCACTTCACCAAGTAAAACTACCAATGTGGTAGTTTTTCCACTTGAGACTCTATAGCTTTCAAAGCTATTCATACACATTTCCAACAATCCCCCACTTGAATAGTTTTGAAACTATCTCTGAGCATCAACAGTTCCATAAGATCGGGCATAAGCTAAGGTATCGCGAAGATTTGAACCTTAGCGTAGTGGTTACACTTCCGATTTCATAAGGGTGACTCGTAGTCTTGAACCCTATCTCAGACAGTGTAGCACACCGGATCTTTTCATTGAGTTGTGTTCTCTTCTTAGCCCGTGCGTTTATGGCCTTGCACGTTACCCTGGTTTAGTGAACGCTCTAGCAACTTTGTGCCTCTCAAAGTTCCATAGGGAGCGGCCCCACTCCCACATTCACATAGGTGAGTCTATCAGGAGTACCCCCAAAGTAAAGTACTCCACCCCACATAGGGTATAGATCTCATTAAGAGTTATTAACTCAACCTCCATTGCTTTGGGATTCATGCTTCATTATGCATGAACTTTTCGCATACTACTCATGACTTGTTATTACCCATTGAACCCATTTCTTGGGATCTCCAGTCTATTGGGTCGGGTTACCATCACTTGTAGTCCGTGGTTCGGTAGGCATAAGTCCCATACCCTTGGCGGTATTCTGGACTTTCTCTCTAGGTAATCCTTTCGTCAAAGGATCAGCTAGATTCTGTTCGGATCTTATATGATCCACCCTCACTGCTCCTATCGTTAGGAGTTCTCTAACAGTACTGTGCTTACGACGAATCTGTCGTTTCTTTCCGTTATAGAACCGGTTCTCAACTTTAGCGATAGCTGCGGTACTATCACAATGTATCAATACCGGAGGGACCGGGCTTTCCCATAGGGGAATCTCTGACAACAATCCTCTCAACCAACTTGCTTCTTCACTAGCCGTTGCTAGTGCTATCATCTCTGATTCCATAGTTGATTGAGCTAGGATTGTTTGTTTCTTTGACTTCCAAGACACAGCTCCACCAGCGATGTTAAAAACATATCCGCTGGTTGCCTTGGAGTCATCTGATAGGGTATTCCAATCCGCATCACTATACCCTTCTAGTACAGCGGGAAACCTTTGATAGTGTATACCAAGGTTTGCTGTTCTCTTGAGGTATCTCATGACCCTCTCTATAGCATTCCAATGCTCTCTACTAGGACAGCTGTTAAACCTGCCAAGCAATCCCACGACATATGCAATGTCTGGTCGAGTGTAATCCGCAGCATAACGGAGACTGCCAATGATGCTAGCATATTCTGTTTGTCTTACACTGTCTCCAGTGTTCTTGAATAGCTTTACACTAGCATCATACGGAGTACACGCAGGTTTACAGTCGAAATAGTTATACTTCTTCAAGATCTTCTCTATGTAACTAGATTGATCTAGAGAATAACCATTTGCTGTTCTAGTTATCTGGTTCCAAGCATAAACTTTGCTTCTCCCAGATCTTTCACCTCAAAGCTCTCTTTTAACATGGCTTTCGCTTCATTGACCACGTGAATATTTGTACCAAATATCAACATGTCATCTACATACAAACATATGATAGTGCAAGTGCTATTCTCTGTCTTGCAGTAAATACACTTGTCACTTTCATTCACCTTAAAGCCATGTGAGAGAACGAGAGTGTCAAACTTCTCATGCCACTGTTTTGGAGCCTGTTTCAAACCATATAGTGATTTGTCCAACTTACAGACTTTCGAGGCATGTTCAGGGATAACAAACCCTTCTGGTTGTTCCATATAGATTTCTTCATCTAGATCACCGTTCAAAAAAGCAGTCTTAACATCCATTTGGTGTACCACGAGATTGTTCAAGGCAGCAAGAGCAATCATGACACGAATGGATGTTATTCTAGATACTGGTGAATAGGTGTCGAAGAAATCTATATTCTCTCTCTGCCTGTAGCCCTTGACTACTAGGCGAGCTCGGAACCTTTCGATTGCACCATCAGGTTTCCGTTTCGTTTTTAGAACCCATTTATTACCTAAGACTTTGCAGCCAGGAGGTAAGTCTGTTAGATGCCAAGTCTTATTAGCCTCTAACGATTCCATTTCATCTATAACGGCCTCATTCCAAAAGTCTGCATCTATGGAAGTTAGTGCTTCCTGCAAACTTTTTGGATCCTCTAGGGTGTATACTGTAGTAAAGTCATCACCAAAATCTTTAGAGATTCTAGCTCTTTTACTTCTTCTGAGTTCATCCTCAGATCCAACGCCCCCACTTGTTCCGTTATCTCTAATAGCGGGTAGTACATTACCCCCACTATTTCTCGTTTTAAATGGAAATCGTGTCTCAAAGAAATCAGCATCAATGGATTCTATTACTGTACGAGCATTCAAATCATAGAATCTATATGCCTTACTATTGGCCGCATAGCCAACGAAGACACATTCATATGCTCGACTAGCCAACTTAACCCTCTTAGGATCAGGAATTCTTACGTAGGCCAAACAGCCCCACGTTCTTAAATAGGACAGATTAGGTGGCTTATTCTTCAAGATCTCATAGGGTGATTCTTTTCTATTTGTTTTTGGAAGACGATTTAGCACATAGCAAACCGTCAACAAAATATCACCCCACCAAGAAGAAGCAGCTCCAGAATTGAGCATAATAGCCACAACTAATTCTGTAAATGTCCTATTTTTCCGCTCAGCTTTACCATTCATCTCTGGTGAATATGGTGCCGTGGTTTCATGAATGATACCATGTGAGCTATAGAATTCCTTGAAGGGATTAGAGTCATACTCTGATCCTCTATCGCTCCTAAGTCTTTTTATCTTTCGATTGCACTGATTTTCGAATTCAACCACAAATACCTTGAACATGTCAAGGGCTTCACTTTTGTTTTTCATCAAATAAACAAAGCAATAATCAGAGCAATCATCTATGAAAGTGATAAAGTATCTCTTGCCAGACCTAGTTAACGTCCCATCTAGTTCACAAATATCAGAATGAATCAGATCTAAGGGTTCTGATTCTCTACTCACAGATTTATGGGGCGTTTTCGTTATTTTAGCTTGGCTACAGAAATCACATTTATCAAATTCATTCATTGAGAGTTTAGGGATATGCCCTAGCTTGCTTAAATTCTTCACAATTCGTGTGTTCACATGACAAAGACGAGCATGCCAAACATTCAAATCACACACCATGTAAACTGAAGAATTCATCTTATTAATTTCGACATTCAATTTGAACATCCCATTACATGCATATCCCTTTCCCACAAAACTCCCATTCTTAGTAAGGGTATACAAGTCTGCCCCAATAGATTGATTAAACCCAGCCTTATTAAGAAGATATCCCGAAACAAGATTCTTCCTTATCTCTGGAGTGTGCAACACATCCTTAAGCACCATCTTCTTCCCAGAGGTGAAGTTCAGCTCCACTTCACCAGAACCAGCAACCATAGTGGTGTGAGTAGTCCCCAACAACACTTTCTTGTCAGCAGGTGCTTCTTCGTATGTTTTAAACATAGCACGATTGTTGCATACATGCTTCGATGCACCTGTATCCAGCCACCATCCTTCTGAGTCACCGGTGAGGTTAACTTCAGCAATCATATCTGTGATCATGGCTACCAAATCCTCTTCTGTCAAGTTAACCCTGGCCGCAGCGGCGGGGTTATGCTTGTTCCTGCACTTAGGAGAGAGGCTGGATGCCCTTAGGAGAAACTACCATATGCTTGTTCCTCAGAGTAACCGATTAATAATTAATTATTAAATAATTAATTTCGTTCGGAATTTCTCCAAAAAATATGTATATAGTCACCAAGTGAAACTACCAATGTGGTAGTTTTTCCACTTGAGACTCTATAGCTTTCAAAGCTATTCATACACATTTCCAACACCTTCTCCTTCTCCTCCAGCTCCTTGTTCATCAGCGCGCCTCCACCCGCGGTGATCAGCTTCCCGGTGGCGAGCTCGAACTGGTCCCACTCAGTTTCCACCGGGATGGGGACCTGGACGCCGTACCTGGACCAGTGACGGATTCAGAACAATAGTAAAGTAGCTAGTGAGCTGCATTTAAATAAAAAATTATATAGATACTGACTAGTACTAGGCCGAAAGAGGTGGAGAGGGCTGAAAACAAGCAGTTCTAGTCTACTATATTAGCTCTGTAGGTCTCCTTGATCCTCCACTAACCTGGACCAGTCGAAGATGTCGTTGAGGCGGCGGTAGAGGCTGACGGCGTTGGGGACCCTCCTGCCCCCGCCAGGGTTGAGCCACCGCACCATGAATCCTTCCCTGTTGATGGTGATCTGGTGGTTGAAAGTGTTGAGGCATAGCTCCACCAGCTTCTGACCGCTGAGTGCCACGCCGAACACTTCCAGCTCGCGGTGGGTGCAGTGCTGGTTGCTGCCGATCCGAGCCACTTGCTTCCAGTCGCCCACGTAGCCGGACAGGTCCTGAGTGTTGAGGTCCGGGGAGTACGGCCCGTTGTTCACCCTCATCGTGCGGTCGCTTAGGGCAAGCAGCCATAGATTGTTGGAGTCCAACACGAAGCGAGACATTTTCTATTGTTGAATGTTGTTTCTCTCTCTCTCTCTCTCTCTCTCTCTCTCTCTGGACCAATGACTACTAATGTTGATAATTATTTGCTTTGCTTGTGATTGATCTGTGTGACTTTGGATCCCTATTTATATACTGGAAACCATAACCCTTCTCGGCTATTTGCTTTCCTCACAGGTGCGACCTATTAATTAATTACTAACTACGGGTTGAGCTGGTGGCCATGTGGGTATATAATTAACTAGTGCGATCCAGCTTCTCATCCCATTCTTTATTCATTAATTATTGCATGCACAATCAACTTTCAAGAAAACCCTCTAGCGGTAAGACCAGATGTTGATTGATGTCCGTATCCGTCTAGGCACGTCAGAACGTTGAGACTAAAAGTAACAATATATATCTCATTGTCTAGAATCACAAGTTTAATTATAAACCAAAGTCATCTCACCAACTTCTCATTTCTAAACCCTCATCAATAAATATATGGTGAAGCACGAAAATTTTCTCCGCAAGGAAGAAGAAGCTGCCGGAGCAGATTGAGAGAAAAGAAGCACAAAAAAAAAAAAAAAGTTGTTCGAAAGAGGATGGTCCCTAAATCTAACCTGTCGGCTAGCAGTACTCAGGAGCACAATTAACTAATTTATTTATATATACAAAATTTATTTGCGATCTTATTTAATTATTATTATTATTGTTATTTGTAAAAAGATTACCCAAATACACTCCCCGCCCCGCGTCCCACCGTATTTTATTAATATCATTGAATACAGTATCACGTGGTTAATTATATCAACGAATACAAAAGCACGTGGTTAATCATTAACCTTTTTCTTGTTTTTTTTTTTTTGTTCACCCTACACATGTTTCGAAGTTTGGAAGGATATTTTTTCTGAGATCTCTTAAAATATATCGTTGTTGCACCAATGATTATTATGATTAGAATGGTGTAAACAGCTCAAAAGTACTAGTTAAGTTGTGCAAGTGATGATATCGACAGTGATCATTCAAATTAATGAAAAGGTTAATAATTAACCACGTGTATTCATTGATATAATTAGCCACCTGAGTTAGGAAACACAATCAACAGTATCATTTATAGCTGAAAAGTAAAATTGATACCACCATTTAAAATTCCCTGCTCGTAGAGTGATTTTCTGAGGCTAACATGGCAGCCCATTTAGGTGGGCTTTCTTTCCTCTTTCATCTTCCGTCAGTTGGGTTTCTCTTCCCTCGACTATTTCCGTAACCATCCTCCCCCGTATTTCTCTCTCCTTCCTGCAGTAAAGGGCACGTCGGTTACCTATCTCCCCAGAAACCTATTCCCCTTCCCGCAGCAACGACAAACTCAACCATGATCCGTCAGCGATCAAACTCTTTCCTTCCCATCACCCCACCAGTAACCAAGTTTCCGATCTGATTGCATTTGTAGGCAGAGGGAGAGTGCCTTCGCCAGTCAAGGACGGCACCCCAGATCGTCAGACGACCATTTTCAACCCTTTGTTTCGTGAGTTTAGTTTTCACGCAGATCATCGCCACCAGCCGCACAGCTTTTGATTCGCAGCTAATATTGGTTTCGTGGGATGACTTCTTCAGAACGATCGGCGCCTTATATTTGAGGTCGGTATCTCAATTTTCGATATCTATGAATCTCCATTTTATCGGCGCCTTCTTTAGAAAATGCAAACTTACTCCTTCCCTCCTATCGATGAACCATAGAAAATTGGAGAGCCATAATCCTCATCTCCGATTGATGAACCACAGCGACGGTGTGGATCAGACTTGCTTCCCCCAACAATACTAAAAGACAAGTGGATAGAACCAAAACAATCTCAACCAATTAAAGCAGTCACACCGCAGCGCAGACCCCTACCTCCACCAATCGAGAAGGAAACGAGGGAATCGAATTGCTGTGAGAAAAGTCTGAAAGGGGAACCTAACGAGAAGAAGAAGCAGAGATATGGTTATGGCTTTCTCGAATAATATGTACTAATTCCCGGGTATGTGCTCCTCCCTGCACTCAAAAGGAGAGAGGACGAGCAGGAATCCACTCCTCTGCTAGTTGCATTGCCTGGAGATGAACGAAGAACAAGTTTATCTTTGAACTTGAAGCAGAAGCGCCCAAATGAAGAAGAAGTACAAGACGGCGTCGTTGAGGCATCAGAGAAGCAACGATTACAAAACTCACCGTTTTGTGGTGATAAAACGTAGACTTAGTTTTACTGTTTTATAGGAAAGATGTACAACTTTTATTGGTTAGTTAGTTTGCTCTTTTAACGGCTAGTGAAACTGTAAATATCTCCCTGTATATTTGCTTCTCTGAAATGGAAAAAGCTCACAACGAGCATCTTCCCCAAATCTGCTCTTATCCAAATTCTCTCTTTATCAGAAATCTTCTCATGGTATCAGAGCCTGGTTATCACGCTAAATCCAATTTTGCCCTAACTTTAGGGGTTCGTTTCCTCTTTCTCCTTTCTTCTTTTGCTTCACTTTCTCTGTTTTCATCGCCGTTGCTGCCATGGGTGATTCCACTACTACAACAACTGATTATGGAAAAACCTCTAGTAGCACCGACTCAGCTGATCGATTGAAGTCGATTATGGGTCAGTACGAAGACCCATATCTCAATCCTTACTACCTACCACCTCAAGACGGAGCTCTTCCCACCATCATCACACTAAAGCTAGTAGATGGAAATTACCACACATGGAGTGAAGTCATGTGGCTGGCTCTTGAGACCAAGAACAAGAACCAGTTCATCGACGGTAGAATCCCAGTTCCTCAGGTAACCCGATGCTCATTACCAATCCTGGGCTCCTGTAATGGCACTATTCGTTGCTGGATCTACAACTCTTTGTCTGACGATATCGCAAATAGCGTTATGAGACTAGCTATAGCTAAAGATGTGTGGGATAACCTGAAAAACAGATTTAGTCAGGAAGACAACATTAGGGTTTATGATCTTGATACCCAACTGACTAAATGTGTTCAAGGAGACCAGTCTGTGAGTCAATATTTTACTGCCATTATTGTGCTTTGGGAAGAATACAAGCGATACAGACCCATTCCAACCTGTCCTTGTGTTCCTGGATCATATGAGACCTTGAAACGGTACCAGGACAATGATTTCATCATTAAGTTTCTTCAGGGTTTGAATGGTGTTTATCAGTCAGCAAGGACTCAAGTTTTGATGCTACCAGTCTTACCTAGCATTGATATTGTGTTTAAGCAAATTTTGCAACTAGAGCGACAACTAAAGGTCATGAACAGGAGTCCTGAAACCAACACTCTAGCTCTAACTGCAACTGGATCTTATGGTGGTGGACAATATCAAGATAAGGGAAGAACTCAGCAACAACAACAAGATGGGAAGAAGCTTTGCAATTACTGCAAGAAGGAAGGTCATCTCATCATAGATTGCTACAAGCTGAAAAACAAAAAGGCACGAGAGGCAGCATCTGAATCAGGATTTGCAGGCTCAGTAGAGACCACTCATCTGGAAGAGTCAGCTTCCATTCCTCATGACACAACAGGTGGATTAGTAAACCTGTTCACAGTGGAACAGATGGAGCAATAGAAGCTCCTCCTCTCCAAGACTCCATCACCTTCTCCATCATCACCATCTGTTCATGCTGCTAACTCAATGACAAGGCCTTCTCCACAGCTCAGTTACTTTCCTTCAAGTTCAGGTATCACTGCTCTTTCTGCCCTGATAGCTTCTTCTGGTGGACACCTTTGGGTACTTGACACAGGTGCCACAGATCACATTGTTTGTAATCTAAGATACTATCTTAAGTACAAACCCTTAGAGGGTGTTTTTGTGAGTTTACCTACTGGATCACAAGTTAAGGCCACACACATAGAAATTGTCAAACTTCCTTCTGGCCTTTTTCTCTCCCAAGTTTTTTTTTTTTTTTGTTCCCACTTTCAGTTACAACCTTGTATCTGTTAGCAAATTAACCAAAACAAACCCAGTCTCACTTACCTTTCAATCCTCTTACTGTGTGATACATGACCTTATTACTCAGAGGAGAATTGGTTTAGCCCAAGTGGATAAGGGACTTTACCTCTTTGCCAAGACAAAGTCCACTTCTTCCTCTCCCTAGTGTCTTGCCTCACCAGCTTACAACTTTCAGCCTCGAGAATTTGATATCTGGCATGCCGGATCAGGACATCCACATGTCTCTAAAATTGAAGCTCCTCCTCTCCAAGACTCCATCACCACCAACTTCACCATCTATTCATGCTGCTAACTCAGTGACAAGGCCTTCTCCACAGCTCAGTTACTTTCCTTCAAGTTCAGGTATCACTGCTCTTTCTGCTCTGATAGCTTCTTCTGGTGGACACCTTTGGGTACTTGACACAGGTGCCACAGATCACATTGTTTGTGATCTAAGATAATATCTTAAGTAAAAACCCTTAGAGGGTGTTTTTGTTAGTTTACCTACTAGATCACAAGTTAAGGCCACACACATAGGAATTGTCAAACTTCATTCTGACCTTTTTCTCTCCCAAGTTTTGTTTGTTCCCACTTTCAGTTACAACCTTGTATCTGTTAGCAAATTACCCAAAACAAACCCAGTCTCACTTACCTTTCAATCCTCTTACTGTGTGATACAGGACCTTATTACTCAGAGGAGGATTGGTTCCAGCTGATTAAGCCTGATCCCAGAAATGTACAGTAGCCTGTGATAGATTTTCTTGAGTTAGGGCATGTCGCCAAATTCGAATCATTGTATCCCCTTAGCTGCAAACTGGAATCACATGAATACAGTAATCCTTGACCTGGTGCCAATTTCAAATAAGGTAGAACTCTCTCCAAAGCTCGAAGATGTAATGTAGTTGGTTCATCTTGAAATTGGCAGAGTTGTTGTACTGCAAACGTGATGTCAGGTCTGGTTGTAGTCAAATATTGGAGTTGCCCAACCAGATGCCTGTAACCACTGATGTCAACTAGAGGCTTCCCTCCTTATGATGACAGCACCTCTTTAACAAACATAGGTGT